GTTGACAAATCTCAATATAATAAAGACCGATAGCCTCAACAAATTCCAAAACGGTGTTCAAGCCGATAGCCGCCACACCTCTATCGTCACCCACATTTTGGTCCGTCATCATTGCCCCTAAACCATGGAAGTTTTCTGAACAAGGATGCAACAAAGATGAAGAGTCATCCCAATAAAACTCAAGCGGTTGCCCTCTCCAATTTTGTGCCTGATAACTCTTCAAAACGTCCTGATGACGAAACCACGAACCATACATATTAGAAGTAAAATATGGGAGGAATACTCTCTTGTATATTAACATTTCCAAAGAGTAAAGATATATACACGTCCAGAAATAGAATCGTAACAAATTAGAAGAACTAATTAATATGATAAAACTAACTAAGATAAATAATAAACTAATAATCTAATACTCCCCCTCAAGATGGAGAATAGATGTTGGAGATTCCCATCTTGGAAAATAAAGGAAAAATAACATGCGCATACAAAGCTTTGGTAAAAAGATCAGCAAGCTGAAATTGTGAGTATATAGGAAGAAGCTTGATGAACCCGTCCAAGACTTTGTCACGAACAAAGTGGCAATCAAGCTCAATATGCTTTGTGCGTTCGTGAAAAATAGAATTCGAGGCAATGTGGATAGCAGCTTCATTGTCACAAAACAATAAGGCTGGCTGGGATACAGGAAGCTGCAAATCCGAAAGAAGATAACAAAGTCAAACGAGTTCACATGAAGCCATAGCCAAAGCTTGATACTTAGCTTCGACAGACAAACGAGAAATAGTGGTTTGTTTTTTGGTCTTCCAAGAGACAAGCGCATCGCCCAGAAAAACACAAAAACCTGTCGTGGAACGTCGCAAATCAAGACAAGATGCCCAATCAAAATCACCAAAGGCCTTTAATTGAAAAGAAGAAGATGCAGGAAGAAAAATGCCTTGTCCTGGTGCATTCTTCAAGTATCTCAAATAAGTGGTGCGCAGCAGCCAAATGAGTGTTTTGACACATGTAGAAACCGTATTTGGTCCGGTTCAAATTTTATTATTATTAATATTTATTATTTATTATTTTATTAAATTTTACTGTTTTTGATTAAAAATAACATCATTTTACTTTATTATTAGTTTTAAGATAAAATTTAAATTAACATAAATTAAAAAGATGTTAGATTTATTTAAAGGTTTTAATTTTATAAGAAATTAAAAAATGTTTTGTTTAAATAAAATTTGATTTTATTAAAAAGATTTTGTTTTAAATAAGTGAGAATTTTATTTTATTTTAAATAAGGATTTTAGTTAGATATTTAATTTTAAGAAACCGATTTTTCTCCTTTAATTTTTTCTTCGTCAAATGCTTCACAAGTGTCATTCCGTACGTTTTCCCTTTTTTTTTCTCTATGCTTTTACTTCGACTCACGTCATATTACTATTATTTTAATTATTTTTTTTTTGTATTTAAGAGTCTGTAACACAGGGAACAAGAATAGAGGGTATTGTAGAAGAGTGAGAGTAAGAAAAAATCAATCTCTTTCCGTCTTCTTTTTCACTACCCAAAGCCCAAACCATTTTTTTTTTGTTTTATTATTCTTTCATTCTCTCTCAAATCTCACGTCTCCCTCTTCTTTTGCCTCTTATATTTATTATCACCACCACAATTTTTTTCAATCTCCCTCAACCACTCCAGCGAACATGAGCGGCGCGACGACTAGCAACAGCACAACCCCGATGCCCTCCAACAACCACCGGCAAATAGATCTGACAATATTCCGAGGCGGCGAAGTGTCCGGCGATCCACTTTGACATCCACGAGCTCCTGTTACTTTTGACAAAAGCCGACGGTAGAAATCTCTGCGCAAAAATCGTATACCCCTTCTCTTAATAATAACAAAAAAAAAGAGAGAGTTTCTTTTTAACAAAAGAAACTAAAACTTTCCTTTTAAAAAAATAAACATTTTTAAAATAAATTTTGGAAAATAATGTAAATGATTTCACAATAAAATTTATTTCTAAATAAAATAAAAAGAATAAGATTTTTATAAAATAAATTTTGTTCCAAAAATAAATAGAATTTTTTTTAATTACAAAATAAATAAATTTG